GTTGGGAGGCGTTTCCGCTGCAAGTGTTGCCACTTAGGCTGACGTCCGCTTGCTGCCTCCTTATGTGATTCGCTTGGCGCACTTGTCCCAGCATGTGCCGTTGTGGCAGGTTGCATCACAGGCTCACCAGCAGTGCAGTTTGAAAAATGTGTCAGGTCTTTCATACTGTGGTGAGGCGTACTGTTGCAGGAAGCAAGTATACAATTTCTTTGGGAAGAGGGTTAGTTTCAATGAAACCTCTGAACATTCAGTCATGATTACATCACTTACTGTAGCTCCAGTGCTAATCGAGATTTCTCGAGCACGGTGGTGTACACTGGTGTCAGTCGCGTGACTTGTTGCTGTCATTGATCAAGCTTCCAGCTTCGCAGGCTTGATGCATTGCGCTCAGGTTGCAGGTATACATGTGTACGTGTGTATATATATATATGTATGATGCATACCAGTGGTCATTAGAACCTTGGGGATCGGGCATTAACATGTGCAGTGGCTCAATTCAATTCAGCCCAATATGCCACTCACATCACATGTTATGTTTAGTTGGCAGCGCAGTCCTCAAAGAATGTAGTATCCGAGGCTTAAATCATCTTAAATCTACACTACGCAGCAGAAGGTCACTGCCGCTTGCACTGTCGAACAACGTTCCACATAACGGCTTCGTGGGGTGCACGGTCATGGCCTCTATGTTGCGGCCTCAAGATGCCTCGAGACTGGGGCAAACACCACGAAACATGTGGGAGAGTTCTCAACCTTGATTTCATCGTTATGGTTGTGGCATACCTCTCCAGGCTTTTTGACTCCTTGCCGTTGCTGAAGCTGGCATATTCCAACCGATCTCTAAGAAAAGCTCCGAGGCTCCTTTCATTGTGCCTGGCATTGTGCCTGCACGTGGAGCCCTGTGGAGAAGAGGGGCAGGGTTGCTTTCCAACAGCAGTGTTTTTTCAGGACCCTCAGGATGTTGAAAGAGCATGGCGTAGCTTCCTAGATTGAGTAGACTGTCACCTTTTCTATCAAAATATGCAGTATATAATGCACATGTCACACGTATGCATGTTAATTGCTTCACCACGTATGTATGTATTACGTGTTTGCCGGTTTTGCCCTCATGCCATGCCACAATCGTTCCTTAGGCCGGGGAGGGAAGCAAAGCCGAGCACTGTGCGGCACGCAGATCTTGCAGGGACAAGTTGCACGTTTTCAGGCTTCCAAGTGTTTCGTTCTTTCCTTTGTGGCGGGGGACAGTAAGAGGAGGTAGCTAACAAGTAAGGGGTCAGGTAATTTGCTGGTATACGTAGCACTACTCGATGCTCGGTTGTTTTGGGGGGCTTCCTTGAAGAACCCCTCACATTGATTCAAGAACCCCAGAATTGTTCTCAGGAGCCCCTAGTAGCGTCTTGTTCCTAGTACTGGAAGTTAGCTCCCACCCTCATAACAGAGAGGAGCCTCTCCATCAAGGACTCCATCATGGCTGTTGGCAAAACACCATGGAAGCTCCATGCATCTCGAGCCAGGGAATTGACTCAGCCCATGCAAGTCCAGCAACATCACATTTCTTGTGCAGGATCAAAGTTTTGGGCACAGGAACTTGAAGGCATCCTTGAAGATTCACTGTGGGAAGAGAGGAACCTACAACATCTACTGCCCAAGTTCCAGTGCCATGATCAAGCTTTGACTTGGCACATCGACCTGCTGGACAAAATCATCGAGCATAGAGCACAATCCCTGGTGTCTATGCATGAAACACCTCCACTTTGCTATGCCCATGTGCTCTCAGTTGACCAGCAGGATGTGATCAGAGCATGCAACCAAGCCTGCAAGGATTGGGAAACCCTTCTGGAAGCAGAAGCAGCTGCAAGGGAAGGAGCCAAAACTGATCCTTTGCAGCACATGCATTACAGACACAACCCTGTGACTAGGGTGGTCTACCTGGCCTTTGAGCAGGATCGACAAAATGGCCAGGAAGGAATTCAGGGCAGAAGCGAAGCACATCACTTGCTGAGTGTTTTGACCAGGCACCCAGGAGACAGCAGGCTCATAGAAGTTGCCCATCAGCAGGCCAAAGATGTGCTCAGGTCGAGCAAACAAAACACCTTTGCCAACACTGCCATCATGAGCCAAGTGCTTTCATCAAAAATCCTGGAGGGCAGGAAGATGGATGTGCTGAAGGCCACACCAGCAGACAAGGCACATGCACCAGTTCAGAGAGGCAAGTGCTAGGCTGTGAGCTCTCAGATGAAGGCTTCAAGTCACAAACTGCCAAAAGACATCCAAAACCTCATGCTTCCGCAATCAAGGCAGAACCCCTGGCCTTCTCCCAGTCCAGGGTCCTTGTTCCAAGCAACAGCAGCAAGCAAGTGGCTCCAAGAATACTGGAAGCACAAGGACCATTCTTTGCAAGGTGTCCAGTGCAACAGTGCTTGGATGTCTGTGCTTGCTCTTCCAGGCAGCTTTGTTGCGCAGCAATCCACAGGAACCTTTCTCAAGGTCATTGCATCTAGCCAGTTCTCCTTTCTGGGGTGGGAAATTACAGTGCAAACTGTGGGATCAGCAGTGCTACACTTTGCAGCCAGAAAGGAGAAGGCTGCGGTGGATGCACGCCGCAGACCTTCTTGACTGGGCATCAGTCCCCTGTGAACCATTCCTCCTGGACACTGCTCGAGGGCCCATTGGGTGGAGAAGGAGTGGGGGGGCCCATGCCTTTGCAAATGGCAGTATGCTTGGCAGGACTCCCTCTCACTGTTGCCCACATGAAAGCTCTCATCCAATTGCTGGGGGGGAAATAAGATGCCAGGAAACCCATCAAGGAAAGATGTGGAGGAACATCTCTTCAAGATGGTCTTTGCACCTGAGGAAGTGGCAGATGCTTGGAAGAATAGGGCTGCAAAGGAGGTTGAGAAGGATGATGACATAGACTCAGAGTTTTCTGAGGTCATCAGTGAGCTCTGCAATGATGAAGCAAAGAAACAGGACCTCAGGGACCTGAGGAAGAAGAGAAGGAAGGCAAGGCTCAACAGAAAGCTCAGTGCACCTGTCCCAAAAAGCAAAGGCAGAGGCAGGGGCAGAGGTACGGGCAGAGGAAGGGGCACAGGAAGGGGAAAGGGAAAAGGAAAGGGCAATGCAGATGGGAGCAAAAAGAGAAAATTCTTGGACACTTTGCTGGAAATGGCCCGAAAGAAGATGCACAAGGAGGATGATGAGCCAATGCCAGACAAGAAGGCAGATGCAAAGGATGAGCCAATGCCAGACCAGGGGGGCACAGGATGCACCCATGCCAGACAAGGGGCAGGAAGCTGAACCAATGCCATTCTCAGAAGCAATGCCAACAATGGAGATGGAGAGCAGCAATGCTGCATCATCATCTTCCAAGGCACCAGCAATGGCAGAGGCCCCTGGAAGGCAAACTGGGCCTGGGACTTCAGCACCAAGGACCCCAGCTCCAAAGGTTCACAGATCCCCTGAGGAAGTGCTTGGGAAATTGGCACCCCCCTGGTTGTGTCATTGGCCTCTCCTATATGGACTCTGTAGAGCATCCCATTCTCCAAGGCACAAAGTACCAGTCTGTGACCAAGACTGCATCATTTACACATGTCAGAACATGGAAGGATGCTTTAAGGCTGGTCCACCAGCATTGCTGGGAAAAGTGGGACTTGGTCAGGGATGCCTTTCCACTACCAGCAGGGATGGAGGAACAAGTGCCAGGCAGTGTCCCCAATGAGACATTTGAAGCCCTTGCTGAGACAATTGATAGCCTACCTGAGCCCAAGAGGTTTACAAAGCGCTGAGTTGGTATTTAAAGCTTGGAGGTGTATCCTTCAGAGAGGGCCTTTGAAAAAGGAGAACTCTCTTGAGCCATTTGGAGCTGTCACAGGACACATTTGAATAGACCTGCACTGCTGACTGAGAGGCACTCCAGCCCTTTGGAAAAGAGCCTAGCCTTCCTTCTTCTTCTTCTTCTTGACAATTGATTCTACATGGCTAATCTACTCTACTCTACTCACTTTCTTTGAAGGTCCTTCCCTTCCCTCCCA